GTCCTGGACTCAGGAGATCCTCCTACCTTATCTTCCAGACTAGCTAGGACTATAGGCACCTGTCACCACACCTAATTTTTAAAAAAATTTCCTGTAGAGACATGTCTCACTGTGTTGCCCAGGTTGGTCTCAAACTTCTGGCTGCAGATAGTTCTTCTGTCTTCCTTTTCCAAAGCACTAGGATTACCTTTGTGAGTCACAGCATCTGGCCCTGTTTGGTTATTTTTAATGATATCTATTTCTGTTGAATTTCTCATTCAGATCATGAATTGTTTTTCTGATTTCTTTGCATTATTTATCTGTGTTCGCTTGTACCTCATTTAGCTTCTTTAATTTTACTTTGAAATTTTTAAGGCATTTTGTAGATTTATTTTTGTTGGAATCTTGCTGGGGAATTGCTGTTCTTTTGGAGGTGTCATATTTCCTTACTTTTCATGTTTCTTGTATCCTTATGTTGATATCTGTGCATCTATTGTAATAATCACTTCTTCCGATTTTATGGATTGGCTTGCATAGGCAAAGACCTTTTCCTGTAGTTATATTCATAGAGATGGTTGAGTAGGGTGTTTGGGCTTTGATTTTGGGTGGGCTCAGTAGTACAGTCTTCATATGATTTCATTGACTATGATCAGTGTCAGTGGTATTTGTGAATTCCCATGTGTCTTAGGCTATGGTTATTAGTGGAGACTCTAGTAAGGATTTACTGTGGACTGGGAGCCAGTTGAGCCGGTCCTCAATCCTCAGTCTTGGCAACAGGCTGAGAAAGTAGGTTCTTGATCCCCCAGATGGTGTTTAGGCATTGATAGTAGTGGGTCCAGGTGAGCTAATCCTTGGTCCTCCAGATGGCTTACTTGAGTGTCAGCAGTGGCAATGGTGAGCCAGGTAGGCAGGTTTAGTCTCTGGGTCTACCATCAGCACTCATGGGTACCGGCAGTGGTGGCGGTGAGCTGAGAGGGCCAGTCTCCGGGCCTCTAGGTGGCAGGTGGATGGTGGCAGTGGCTGCAGGTTGGGTGGTCCCATCCTCAGGCCTCTGTAGGTATGCTTGGGCATCTATGGGACCGGACAGAGGTGGGTAGATCCCCAGACCTCTGGACAATACACATAGCACTAATGGGGCCATCACCAAGTAGAGTAGGCCTATACTTGGGCCCTTGTGTGGTGATTTTGCAAGCAGTTTGTGTTGAACAGGGCTGGTTGATCTTCAGACCCTAGATGATGTGTGTGGGTGCTGACAGTCTGGGTGGGCCCTTTCCCAGGCTCCTGGAAGGCTTATACAGGCACTAGCAGCAGTAGGCAGGGCAAATTGATCCCTAGACCCCTGGCTGATGCTCACAGGCCTTCCAAGGCAGGGGCAGGGCAGGGTGGGTCTGTCTTCAAGCCCTGTGATGGTTCTCTCAGGCACAGGTTGTGCTGGGCATGGCAGGTCTACCCCCAGGAGCCTAGACCGCACACTCAGAAACCAGTGGTGGTGGTGGTGGTGGTGGTGGTAGTAGGCAGGAGGACCTGTCCTCAGGGCCTCTGATAGTGTGTGCAGGCACCAGCATCAGCAGGTATGGTGGGTTGATCTCCAGTCCTAGATGATATGTTTGCTAGATGTGTCAGATAGATCAATCTCCCAGCTACCAGGTAGCATTCTCAGGTGGTGGCATCAGTGAGTGTGGCAGGCCTGACCTCAGGCTCTAGGATGGTACCCAAGCAGGCTCATGTCCATGCTCCTGAAGATGTATGCAAGTGCACATTCACCTGGCTGCTACCAGAGGCAGGGCTGCTGTTAGTGGCAGCGATCCCAGGAAGGCAGCTCCCAGGCTGGGGAGCACGTGCTTCAGCTCCCTTCTTCCCAGGGGCAGTCTTCCTCATGTGCTGCACCACCCATTTCCTGTGATGCTGGACTGTATGTGGGCTAGAGTGCTAGGGACCTGGTTGTGCATTGAATCCAGCTCATGTCACAAGATTGCAAATCTATGGGTGGACGTGGAATAGATGTCAGTGGGGCTCCAGGGGTGTGGAGATTCAGGGCCCTAGGGCAGGATGTTATCTGGTGGGGGTTGGACTCTCAAAGTGACACCATGTTGCAGCTGCTTGGGTCTCGGATGCTGTATGGGATCCAGCAAACTTTCCCTCTAGAATAATGCATCACTTTGATGCCAGGCAGCTTCCTCTACTAGTCTCAGGGCCCTTGAGAGCTGAGGAGCCATGGCTAGGCTTGCAGGAGTCCATGGTGAGAATGTGGACCACTGGAGATCTCTCTTACCTTTCTCCTGCACCTAGGCAGGTCAATCTGTGGTGTTTCTCCTATCTTCTAGCCAGTCCTGGCCAGGCCAACTGCTTCCCTCTCCTTCCATGCCTCAGCGGTTCCCCGTCACTTTCCTGCTGAATGCCTGTGTTCTCTTTTAGATGCTCTATTCAATGTGTTATTATCCCCTTGCTGTTTTGGTACTTCTTTGTGGAACAGGTGAGTGCCAGGTGTCTGGTCAGCCATAATGAACCTCTCTCCAAATCCATTTTCTAAATCAATTGATAGAATAGCATAATGTTTCTCTTTTATTATATTAATGTGACAAATTGCATTGATTGATTTTTAAATATTAAATAGCTTTCAATATCCCTTAAAATAATTTTTTTACTGTTCTTATGTGGTATGTATTTCATTGGTTTTATTTTTCCTTTTCTGATTGTCAGTAATTTTATTATGTTGCCTTCTGTTGACTATTTTGGTTTGCTGCTTTGAAAATTCCCTGTTTATATTCGCTTCCCTTTTTATATTTCATTGGTTTTGTTTTGTTTGCCATTTTTTAAGAATTTTTATCTGGTATAGATATCTGGCCAGGCATGGTGGCTCATGCCTGTAATCCCAGCACTGTGGGAGGCTGAGGCGGGCGGATCACTTCAGGTCAGGAGTTCGAGAACAGCCTGGCCAACATGGCGCAACACAGTCTCTCCTAAAAATACAAAAAATTAGCTGGGCATGGTGGCGTGTGCCTGTAATCCTAGATACTAGGGAAGTTGAGGCAGGAGAATTGCTTGAACCCAGGAGGTTGAGGTTGCAGCTACCAAGATCATGCCACTGCACTCTAGCCTGGGCAACAGAGCAAAACTCTGGTCTCAGGAAAAAAAAAGGAAAAAAAAAAAAATATATATATATATATATCCTAACCTCCTCCTCTTCTTTCCACTATCTCTTTCTATATATAGATATAAAATTTTACATCTGGACACCATACTGAATTATTTCTACTAAATCTATTAAGTTTTCTTCTTAAGATCTTAGATGTTCCAAATGTGCAGGTTTATCATCAGTGATAAGAAATAGGTTTTGCTCCTATATTTTGATTATTTCCTATTCTTCTTATTGTATTTGTTAGAATCCACTAAAGCAGTTTTTAATAATAATAATGCAGTATGGTATCCTGATACCTGATATGAATAGACATGATTTTATTGCAGAATGGTAGGGGTGAAGGAAGAAAAACAGATGTGATCTCTGCCGCAGGCAGTTTGTTGAAGCACAGGGCAGGGAAATCCTTCTGAAATATTAACAGCACTGTAGTTTTGTTCTCTGTAGACTAGAAAGAAGTAAAGAGTAAAACAACTTATAAATAGTTGATAAACAAGTTTTTTCTATGGAAATTAACTGAACGAAGGACAGTTCATGCTAACTCAGTGTTATAAAAGGACTGCAGGCAACACAGAGGGCTGAAATTGAGACCCATGAGCAAGGATCTCTGTTTTTCTTCGACCATTTTAGCCATGTGTATGCAGATATAATAGGAAGAGAATTGAATTTATGCAAGGTTGGGGTTTTGCCACTTGAATGTGATGAGTTGAGGATACACAAGAGAATGACTATATGATGGACTTTAGATGAATTTTAATGGAGATGACGGAAAATGTGACAGGATCAGTGCATTGTAAGTACTTTCAGGGGTAAAATATTTTTAGAGTTGGAGTTGTAGAGGGAGAGAAGTGGAAAAAGAATGTTAGAGATGAGAGGGTAAAATATTTAACACTGGAAATTTCAAGAGGCTATAGTTAATGACAAGGTCTCTAAGATATGACCATTGCAGTGATGGAGATAGGATGAAGACTGAGGTAGAGCGAAGGGCAGCAAACCAAGAGGCCTACCTACTGGAAGGATTATTGGTCCAAATGTAAAAATCATCTAAATTAGTTATGACAGAATTAGTGTTGGGGAGCTGGTGAGCTGGAAAGTAAAATCTTAACGAATGAACAGGAGTGACGGGATAAATAACTGTATTGTTATTCTGAAGTAATTTTTCTTTCTTTCTTTTTGTTCTTTTTGGTTGAGACACAGTCTTGCTCTGTTGCCCAGGCTGGAGTGCAATGACGCAATTTCGGCTTACTGCAACCTCCTTCTCCCGGGTTCAAGTGATTCTCCTGCCTCAGCCTCCTGAGTAGCTAGGATTACAGGTGCACGCCACCATGCCCAGCTAACTTTTTGTATTTTTAGTAGAGACAGAGTTTCGCTGTGTTAGCCAGGATGGTCTCGATCTCCTGACCTCATGATCCACCCACCTCGGCCTCTCAAAGTGCTGGAATTACAGGTGTGCGCCACAGCGCCCAGCCTTTTTTTCTTTTTTGAACCTGTCTCAGGATATTCTGAGGTAAACCTCTTCTCTCCTGGCACCAATTAAAAGTGTGGAGAATTTCAGAGCAATTAGAAGTAACTAGGAGTTGCTTCATATAAACAAAGTTAATAATTTAAAAATAGCATTCTAATACATATATTAATTTTACCAAAAGCAGAAAGAAGGTAAACTGTTTTAACCACCATAGAAATTATTATGTACAATTGAAATGAAATTTGACTTTCATATATCTTCACTTATTAACTTCTAATATGTAACAGAGCTTAACTAGTAATTGCCTGTTGCAATAATGCAGCTTTTTGAACTTTGCCCTAAATGCCAGTAGAGATAAAATTTGTCATTTTGAGAACTAGCATGACTTTTTATTTTTTGTTTGTTTGTTTGTTTTCACAGAGATTTCTCCTGAAGGGGAAAAGTACAAACCCTTAATTGCTGAAGAAAAAAAAATACAGTGTATTTCACATGAAATAAACACATCGGCTATTGTTGACTCTCCTGTTGAGACAGAAAGTCCAAAGTTTAGTCAGGCATCTCCACAGATGTCATTGAAACTGGAAGGAAATTTAGAAGGTATGTTCTGAGTCAAAATGAGCTGTATTTGATTTAGTAAAACTTAAAGTTCACAAGCTTTATAAACAGATTATCAAAATTTGTGTATGGGTATTTCATCTCAAATTAGGCTCAGTATTTTTATATTTGTAGTAATTGGTCTAAGTCACTAAGTCACTCCAAAACTTAGTGTTGAAACACCGACCATTTCATCTCATGATTTTATGTGTCAGAAATTGAGTCAAGACTTGGCTAATGTGATTTTCCTAATTCAGGTACCTTTTTCTCAGAGATCAGTTGGTAGTGGTCAGCTGGCAACTTATGCTGATCTGAAGGTTCCCAAAAAGCTTCACTGCTGTCCTGGCACGTACAGCTTAGCTGGGCCCCCTCCCTCTTCCTGTGGTTTCAGGGCTATTCTGTGTACTCTTTCTAGCAGGATAGCCTGACTTCTTATATGAGGCCTGGGGCTCACAGATGCTAAGGGGAAAACGGCTTGTACTCTTAAAAGCTGACCTCAGAACTAGCGCATTATCACTTCTGCCATACTCTCTTAGTCAAAGCAGTCACAGCCCAAGCTGGATTCAAAGGGAGAGGAAACAGAACACACGTCTCAGTGGGAAGAGTGTCAAAGAATTTGCATCTGTCCTAAATCTGCCATAGTCTCCCCTCTGACCAAAAATTATTTTCATTCCTCCCATATGCAAAATACACTCATGCTGTCTCAAAGCCTCATCTCATTATGACATTAGCTCAGAGTTTAATATGATAACAAAGTCAGGCCTCAGTGAAGATGGGTGTTCCCATCTGCATGTCTTCAAGTACAGTTATTCTCAATCTGAAGACCTGTGAGTAAAAAAAAGGTAAATCACTTGCTTTTCATATGTACAACATACAATGGTGAAACAGTTGTCGAGATACCTTTTCAAAAACAAGGCATATGGGAAGTAGGTAGCAGTCATTGGTCCATAGAAATTCTAAAGTCCAACCAGGAATGGCATTGTCAGCTGGCTTCCTTGCACCAAAGGTTGGTGCCCTCAAGGGCTCTTCTCTTTTGAACTGTTTGTCCCCTTCAGTCTGAGCTCATAGTGCTTCCACAAGCAGAATTCTAAGTTGTTTTGTGGATTTATATGAATATTACTGATATTCACTGTGATTAACAAAAGCCCCTCATTTTTTTTTGAGACAGACTCTTTTCTACCTTGAGTTATCTATAAGGATACTATGAGACAGTGCTCTTGAGTCCTTAGAAATTCTTTTGCCTAGCAAAAAGGATCTGCAAGGCATGCCCTTAAATATTTCTGTGCCCTAACAGATCTGATGGGTACAACCTTGACTTCATCTCTGCCCTGAGACCACACCCTACTGTCCTGAATTTAGTCTGTCTTGAGGCCATGTCTTCCTTTCAGAACCTTTTGTTGCCTAGAAGGAATTATCCTGGGTTCTCTGTATCTCTTCTAAATTCTCATAAGCTAAACTTTTTTCTTCAGTTAATCTCTCTTTTCTTGTTCTTTATCAGGAGTTATTAGAAGCAGCTGTCACTTTGAATGTTCTCCTTTGATAACTCCTTAGCTAGACCACTGGATCCATAAAGTACATTTACTATCTTCCATATTATTGCAGTTACCAAATTTTCTGCCATTAGAGAACAAGAGTCCCTTTTCTCCAGCCTCCAGTAACCGTTTTTCACTGATCAGTCTCTTACCAACAATGTCATTGAAACCCTTCCAATTTCTGCCTGCTCCACAGTCCCAAAGCCAGTGCGCACAGGCTTTTACGTCAGCTCCCAGCTTCCAGATACGTAATTCTGTTTTGATTATAAGTAACTCCTAAAACTTAATAGCTTAAAATAACAATTTTGGGCCAGGCGTGGTGGCTCACACCTGTAATCCTGGCACTTTGGGAAGCCAAGGCTGGCAGATCACTTGAGCCCAAGAGTTCAAGACCAGTCTGGGCAACATGGCAATACCCCATCTCTACTGAAAATATGAAAATCAGACACGTGTGGTAGTGCATGCCTGTGGTCTCAGCTACTAGGGAGGCTGAGGTGGGAGCCCAAGAGTTTGAGACTGCAATGAGCATGAGCATGCCTGGGTGACAGAGCTAGACCTTGTCTCCAAAATAAAAAACAATTTTTATTTTATTTTATCTCACAATTTTTTGAGTCAGGAATTGGGAGGTTCTTCTGCTCCATGTAGCATCAACTGGTATTGCTCAGTGGTATTCAGCGATCAGCTGGGCTTTTCTGAAAGATGCAAAATGATATCACTCCCATGCCTGGCATTTTGGCAGGACTCATCTGGGTCCTCCTTCATTTTAGTCATGGCATTGCACTGTAGTCTTTCCGAATAAACTGCTTTCCTGATGGCTCGGGCTTCCAGATAGTAAGTAGAAGCTGCCAGTGCTCTTAAAGGCTCAGCCTGGAACTGGCATAGCATCACTTCCACTGCTGTTACTCAAGGGAATCACCATGCCAACTGAAATTAAAGAGGAGGAGAAGCAGAGCTCCCTCCCGACTTGAGAGGAAAGTCAGAAACCTTGCAACATGTGACCACCTTAATTCAGCACAGTCACTTAAATAATCTTATTCATTAGAACCATAGTTACTAGTATCACTATGGAATGAAAGTTTTTTCCCTTCCCCCCCACCTCCAAAATAACATATATTGAAATCTAATCCCTGATATAGTGATATTGGAGGTGGAGTCTTTGCAAGGTAATTAGGTTATGAAAGTGGAAGCCTCATGAATGGGATTGGTGCCCTTATAAGAAGAGGGCAGAGAGCTAGCTTTCTGCTTTCTACCACGTTAGGATACGAGGAAGAAAAGGTTATCTGCAAAACAGGAACAGGGCCCATTAGAACCAGCCATGCTGGCACCCTGACATTGGATCCTTCAGCCCCAGAACTCTGAGAAATAAGCTTCTATTGTTTACCCTACCCAGTCTATGATACTCTGTTATAGTAGCCTGAGCTAAGACAGTATCTTATGCCTTTTAAAAAAAAAAAAAAAAAAAAAAAAAAACTCCTTGTATTATGACTGCATTGCATCTAGAAATCAGTTTTGGGAAATTGTCATGTTTTACAATATTGAGTCTTCCAAATCATATTATTGGTTATCCTAAATCTTTTCCACTTTTATAAACTCACAGGAGATAAATGATAGCATTGTTATGATATGCATTTGTTTGCTTATCAATGACGTCAGAATTGGGAGAGCTATACTAAACTACATTTCCCAGCATCCCTTGCATATCAGTATGACCATGTGATTAAGTCCTGGCCAATGAAGTGTGGGCAGAATGATGTGGGTAATATTAAGTCTGGCCCTTCCATGCTTGTGTGTCACTCATTCTCCTTCTCTCTCTCTCAGTCTCTTTCTCCCCCACTCCGCCCCCACTCCCCTCTCCCCCCTCTCTCCTCTCTCCCCCCTCCTCCCTATTCCCCACTCTCTCTCCCTCCCTTTCTCTGTCTCTCTGCCTCTCTACCCCACCCCACTTGTCTGGAGAGAAAATATTAAATCGGAATCTTCCAGGACCTAGGGGATAATGACTGATATAAGAAAAAATCCTGGGTCTCTGAACTTTGGGGAACAAAGAGCCTCCTTGCTAAGCTACACTGAATTATGATACAAATGAGAAATAAACTTTGGTATTCTAGCACTTTGGGAGGCCGAGGCAGGTGGTTCACCTGAGGTCAGGAGTTAGAGACCAGCCTGACTAATGTGGTGAAACCCCATCTCTACCAAAAGTACAAAAAAATCAGTTGGGTGTGGTGGCACACACCTGTAATCCCAACTAGTCAGGAGGCTAAGGCAGGAGAATTGCTTGAACTCGGGAGGCAGAGGTTGCAGTGAGCTGAGATAGTGCCACTGTACTGCAGCCTGGGCGACAAAGCAAGACTCCATCTCAGAAAAAAAAATCTCCTTGAATGCAATGCTCATATATGTGTTATTTCCTCTCTGCTTCCTATGTTCCTAGCACATGGCTAATGCTGAGTGACTGTTGAGTGATGGAATAAATACATGACTGAAACCACCTTTGCAAAAGTCAGAATTGAGAAAATTATGACAGTGAAAGAGATCTGACCATTTTGCTTCTAACATCCAAGCCATTCTTGTTCGTTCCCAGGGACAGGCTGAACCAACTTTGAAAGGAACTTAGTTTATAGTTTAACTTTGAAACAAAGACAATAGCAACTTCCCAAAACAAACCCTCTTTTTGCCTGGGGACTAGACTGCTTTTGCAGGTCTAACAAATTAGCCACAAGATTAGAAATTATGGCCCAGGAGTCATGCAGCTGGAGGTTCCAAGATTCTGAACCTCCACAGATTGCTCTGAGGAAAACATCACTATTGTAAAACCTGAGATCAGAGCTTGAGCTATTTTGCAGACCCTGTACTAGATGGATCAGCTAGAAACACCCAGATCAATAAACTGGATCACCAGGTCTTGTGGCTCCCACCCAGGAACTGACTCAGTGCAAGAGAACAGCTTCGACTTCCTGCGGTTTCATCTCCGACCCAACTCATCAGCACTCCTGACCCACTGGCCCCCTGCCCACCAAATTATCCAAAAAACCTCTGATCCCCAAATTCTCAGGGAGACTAATTAAAATCCAGTCATTCATACAGCTGGCTCTGTATGAATTAAACTCCTTATTGCAATTCCCCTGTCTTGATAAATCAGCTCTGTCTAGGCAGCAGGCAGGGAGAGTCTGTTGGGCAGCTGCATAACTAGACTTTTTGTGGGTCTAGGGGCAAGACTTGACCCAACTGGGGTCCTTCCCTCCTGTTTATAAAACAAGGAAGCTTGGCCTCACTTCATTCTATAAACATACTGAGAGGCCGCCTTTGTATAGTTAGTGACCACCAACCATCTCCCATGGCTGTCAGCGAGTCCATGGCAGAAATGTCCCCTTCAGGACCATGGTACTGATGGCCTGTGCTGACTCTTGAATTAGGAGCTTAACCATGGAAATACCTGCTTTATGAGTACAACTAATAGTAATACAGATTTTAGAGACACAGCCAAAACTCTCTCTTAATTTTACTTACTTTCTTTCTTTTGTTTTCTTTATTTCCTTTTTTGAGATAGAGTCTTGCTCTTGTCACCCAGGCAGGAGTGCAATGGCACTATCTTGGCTCACTGCAACCTCTGCCTCCCGGGTTCAAGCAATTCCCCTGCGTCAACCTCCCAAGTGGTTGAGATTACAGGCACTGGCCACCACACCCAGCTAATTTTTGTATTTTTTTAGTAGAGATGGGGTTTCCCCATGTTGACCAGACTGGTCTCGAACTCCTGACCTTGAGATCTGCCTGCCTTGGCCTCCCAAAGTGCTGCGATTACAGGCGTGAGCTACCGAGCCCAGTCAATTTTTTTTCTTTCTTAAAAAAAAAAAAATTTTTTTTTTTGAGACAGTGTTTTGCTCTGTTGCCCAAGCTGAAGTGCAGTGGCACAATCTCAGCTCACTGCAACCTCCACCTCCTGAGTCCAAGCAATTCAAGTGATTCTTCTGCCTCAGCCTCCTGAGTAGCTGAGACTCTAGGTACACACCACCACATCCGGCTAATTTTTGTATTTTTAGTAGAAACGGGGTTTCACCATGTTGACCAGGCTGGTCGCCTGCCTCATTCTCCCAAAGTGTGGGATTACAGGCGTGAGCTACCGTGCCTGGCCCAAACTTTCAAACAGCTCATAGCCTGTTGGTGAAAACAGATAAACAGCTAGATATATTACCAGATTAGATGAAAAACAAGGGAATTAGCAATGTGTTATAACAGTGTTGAGGAGGGAATTCTTTTAACAATCGTGGCTAAGTGGTTGGGTACACTCTTGCATACAAAGTAACTACATCTTTTCTAGACATTATTTGCTCATGATCATTACATTAAAACTATCTTCATGTTTATTGTAGAAATGCCCCCCACCAAATCCCCAGCTATTAATTATTGAATATTTACAATGCACTGGGCATTTTTCTAAGTTCTTACCCAGGTTCAAACCACATTTATATGTGAAGAAAGATGAGTCTTAGAAGGGGCATGTCTTATTCGTGGTCACTCCAAAAAATGAATATTAGGCTGGGGTTCGTAAACTTGAAAACCTACATTCAACTTTCTCTTCTGGAAATGCCAAGCTTATCTGATATTAGGGGAGATTTCTGGAAGTCCAGGTAACTGGGGCTCAAGCCAGCTTCCCATAGAAATTCCTTTACTGCTTTTATCACAGGAGAAAATCAGTGAGTCAGAAACACCCGGCTTCTATTTCTCACAATAACTTAGAACCGGGGAAACAACTGAATAAAATCATAACAGTCTTACATCATGTATCAGAAAACATGTGTGTCCATCCTTCAAACCAGGAAGACTATACAGCTAGTGCTCGACTTACGACCACGGTCGGGACTGCAGACCGGTCGTAACACAATTTGGTTGTAAGTTGAGTAGGCTATATGTACAGTTGAAATGGTGCATGCAGAGATGGTAGTGCTGCCGGAAGCTGGTCCGCACTGTCGTACGCCCAGCTGGGCAACGTTTGCGCTGCCAGACACGGAGCAGTCATGGCTAGCTATTGTGGTCGTAAAGTCGAATGGTCGTAAATTGCATAGGTGGTAAGTCGATCAATACCTGTATTCAGGAATCTGAGCAAACACAGTAATTCTCAAATTTTGTCACCTCAGAAGGCTATCGTAACTTTTTTGGTTTTTTGAGACAGAGTTCTGCTCTTGTTGCCCAGGCTGGAGTGCAGTGGTGTGATCTCCACTCACTACAACCTCCACCTCCTGGGTTCAAGTGATTATCCTGCGTCAGCCTCCTGAGTAGCTGGGATTACAGGCACCCGCCACCATGCCTGGCTAATTTTTTGTATTTTTAGTAGAGACAGGGTTTCACCATGTTGGCCAGGATGGTCTCAAACTCCCGACCTTAACTGACCCACCCACTTCGGCTTCCAAAAGTGCTATTTTATGTTAACGCAATTTTTATGAACTGTAATTATATTATCCAATGAAATGATTGCTAATAAATAAGACATTGTTTTCCTTGTTTAATCCCCTTAATGTTCTCCTTATTTTTTTGAGAGAGAGAGTCTCATTCTGCTGCCCAGGCTGGAGTGCAGTGGCATGATCTTGGCTCACTGCAACCTCCACCTCCCGAGTTCAAGTGATTCTCCTGCTTTGGCCTCCTGAGTAGCTGGGACTACAGGTGTGTGCCACCATATCTGGCAGAAAACTCATTTATTTACCAGTCCACACATTTTATGTACAGGCACTTTTTTAAACTAACAGAGAAACAAGATTACCAACACCGTAATGCCCACGTTAATACCTTCAGAGTATGCATAGACCAAAGGGAATTTTGAATGCTGGAGTCGTATGTGAACTATTTGTCCTTGGTTTCTTCCATCCTAAGAACTGGTCCTAATACATGGCATTTCCTAAGTGGCTGTGGAGTGGTTCAGTAAATACATAATCAGTCCTTATGTGGAGCTGCGGGAAGTGCATAACCCAATTGTGGCTTTCTCTTTTTTGGTTGTAAAACCTGGCTTCTCTTTATTCCATAAATGTACAGCATGGTCACCTTTGCACAAGTTAGTTAGGATCCGTGGCCTCCCATATTTATGATGGAGTCCATAGTCTTGATTCACTTTTCAGCATCCGCGACAGGTCTTGGTCAATGGTGGGGTTGCACTGATTCTTGAAACAAGAGTTTAACCAGGGAAATAGTTACCGGATTTGGGGATGCAAACTACTGGTGATAGAGGTTTTCAAGGCAAAGCCCAGAACCTTAAAAAGTTCATGTCCTGGCCAACCCCAGTGGCTTATGCCTGTAATCCCAGCACTTTGGGAGACCGAAGTGGGTGGATCACCTGAGGTCAGGAGTTCAAGACCAGCCTGGCCAACATGAAGAAACACCATCTCTACTAAAAATACATAATTAGCCAGGCATGGTGGTGGGCCCCTGTAATCCCAGCTACTCAGGAGGCTGAGGCAGGAGAATCGCTTAAACCCGGGGGGTGGAGGTTGAGGTGAGCTGAGATCGAGCCATTGCACTCCAGCCTGGGCAACAAGAGCAAAACTCTGTCTCAAAAAAAAAAAAGTTAATGTCCTTATGGGGAAAACAGGCAAATAGCCAATGATGTCACCAGGAGCTGGGGTCTTGAGGACATGCAGGATACCTGCTCAGCCAGTCTGAAGGAAGGAATTTTACACACTTGTGGTTAGACTCATTTGTGAAAACGTTACAATGGACCTGACTCTCTATTGGTTCTTATTATCATTTGTTCATAATCTCTAAATTAAAACTGTTATTCATAGTTACTGTAAAACTGAAAAAAAACCTAGCTATTTTTTTTTCCTAATGCCTAGAATATAATGAACATTTTATCATGTTCTTACCCAAACCCATCTTGCATTTCCAGGTGATGAAAATGAAGCTGAGAAGGGCAGGTGTTTTGCCCATGATCATCCATATAATAAATGCTGGGGCCAGGCACAGTGGCTCATGCCTGTAATCCCACCACTTTGGAAGACCAAGGTGGGTGGATCACTTGAGCCCAGAAGTTGGAGACCTGTCTGGCCAACAGAGTGAGACTCCATCACAATAAATACATGAATAACACATAAATAAATAAATAGGGCTGGAGTTTGTAAACTCAAGAACCCACAATCATCCTTCTCTCCTGGTAATTCTAAACTTTCTTACACGAGAGGAGATCTCTGGAAGTCAGTAAAGGGTGCCCAAGCATGCTTCCCATAGAAATTCCACCAAGTTTCAAGGGGCAGCCCGGCAAGCTGATGAGTCAGACAGACCTGGATTACATTTCACTTAAAAATGTATTTATGTATTAACTTATTTACTCATTTTTTGGTAGATATGTAGTCTCACCATGTTGGCAAGGCTGGTCTCAAACTCCTGACTTCAGGTGGTCCACTCACCTTGGCCTCCCAAAGTGCTGGGGTTATAGGCATGAGCCACCATGCTTGGCCCTGCCATTAGAATTTATAGCCATGGAAACAATTGAATTACATCATAGCAATTTGTCTTTCTGTATCAGAAACCTGAAATGTGTATATCTTTCAAGTCGTGAAATTATACTTAGGAATATAATCTTTAACAGGAATTTTCAAACTGAGTTACAACCACTTTATGCATTAAAAAATTAACAAGTACCCACAAATAAATTTTATACAAAGATTATATCTATATTTACCATATTAAAAATTAACACTCAGGAAATTTTAAATGTAAAACTTAAGAAACAGTAACAAACCTATTACCTATTAACATAACCAACATTATAGGAACAATAGTTATATTTTCCAAACAAAAAATGGTAATAAAGGTAGCATCTTTTAATACTTTATCGAATATCTTTAAGGAGCTCCTTAATAGAGA